TCCTCCGTGGCTGTCCCCCACTTCCTTTTTCAGGGACCTTCCCAGCATGGTTTATTTCCTGTTCACTCTCTGCAGCTGTCCCCCTCACTTCCCTTTTCAGTGCGTCAAGTACTAAACAAATGATGAGTACTGGGACATTTTTACATTCAAATTCAGTGAGTATCAAATTTGATGAGATTTGAAGCGCTCAAGTACTGAGGTATCCCTATATTTACTAATATAATGCCTCTTGCAGAAGCTGTAAAATGGAAGAAGATTGTAGCAAGATATGAAAACTACTTTTCAGCAATGAAACACAACCAACAAAACATTTGGAGAATTCATAATCTAAAGCTTCAAATCAGACTTTTTATTTTCAGTGATGAGACTGTGAGCAACATACTTTAAACTGTGTGTTTTCTTTTTCCTTTCCAGCTATAACTTTCTCTCTGGGGGCACTGCTTGTCTGTGTTTCAATATATCTGTATGGATTGCCTCGACAAGATACAACAAAAATCCAGCCATCAGAAACAAAAGCGTCAAAAGGGAATCTTACTAGTGTGTGATGTCTGTCTTCATGAAGAATAGAAAGGCAATGCAAAATAAAAGAGACAGTTTGTATGCCTGTCCCTACCCTCAATTTTCTTTTTGAAAGAAAGCCTTCAATTCTTCATGGAAAGCTTCTGATGGAACTAAAAACAAAGTCAGTTGTTCATTGGATGAAAATCTACACTGGACGGAGATTCTTCACTAATCTGTAGAATCTCACTTTTCCTTATAAACTTTGGTCTTTTGCTATTGAAGATGCCTTGTGTGGAAAAGAAGGAATGGGAGGCACAGTTATACATAAATAGGGAAATGGCCCTGGAATTTACTCTTTATGTTGTAACATTGTATGTAGGCTTTGTTGCCGGAAATGCTTTGTGTTTGCAAGGAAAGGGTAATTCAAATTTAAATGTGACCAAAACAACATAAAATTATGTTGGAAGGAAAGCATCTTTTTCTCCATGGACTCCTGACATGAAGATCCAGCCAAGTGCTCTATTGCTTTAATGATAAAAAAACATCGTTACAATAGAAAAAAAAACACAGTGACAATTGTGAAATAGAAGAATGCTGTTACTGGAGCTTTAAAACTGAAAATGGTAATTTATTTTTTAATATCCTAAAGCCAGGATCACAACTTTTTGAAAAACCACAGGAAGGAAAAAAAATACCGTGATTTCTTTTAAGAATTTTCTATTGTAAAAGAGAAGGGGATAGATAAATGTACATACATTTACTCCTGCATTGAATTAACTAGTAAATACATACATTCTTGTGCAGTTTGTCCACTGTTAAAATTTGATTTTTTAAAATATTTGATTAAATTTGTTTTAGAGAAGGGGAACAAACCCTATGGATTAAATATTTAGGTTTGTATTTACTGATTTTTGTCAACTTACTTTTATACTGAAATCATTGAGAGATAAACATTTTTAAAGCTTTTAGCAGGTTTTCTAAAATGAGGTTTTAAGAAATTAAAATGCATAACTTCTGTAAATCGAGTTATTACAAGAGGGAACCAACCAAACTAAGGCTTGAATGAGAACCTGATAAATCTGATGCCAAGAAGTGATTTTTAACTTTAAAGCCAGCAAGTGTAACTACTTCCAATTTGGTCATGAACAGAGCATAAGAGTTCTTTCTGTTTTAGATTGTCTGACTCTAAATGAAATGATTGGCCCTACTTTGCCCAGAATTTGGAGGAAGTTATTATAATGTTGTAAAAGTGCCTTACCCAACTTTGGTCAACAAATGAATATGAAAGGGGAGGAAAAAGCAAAATGGGAGATACATTTTGAATACCACCTGGTGTATTTTTTGATGCTGTACACAGGTAGTCCTCAACTTACAACCATTTGTTTAATGACTGAAGTTACAATGGCACTGAGAAAAGTGACATGGCTTTTTTTTTCATATGACCATTGGAGCATCCCTGTGGTCCACATGATCAAAATTTGAATGCTTGGCAACTGGCATGTATTTATGACGGTTGCAGCATCCTGGGGTCATGGGATCAAGCTTTTGAGACCTTCGGACAAACAAAGTCAGTGGGGAAGACAGATTCACTTAACACAACCAGGTTACTAACTTAACAACTGCAGTGATTCACTTAACTGTGGCAAGGAAGGTCGGAAAATGGTGAAAAACCCACTTAACTGTCTTGCTTAGCAATGGAAATTTTAGACTCAATTAAGTCGAGGGGACTACCTGTAGTTATTTGTTGGGCATTTGGAAGAAAAAGGACAACAGAACAGGGGAATAAGTGCAGAGAAACCAAATGTGGAAGCCTATTTGCAGAGATTACTGGGAGAAAATAAGTAGAAGTTACTACCATTTTTTTTAGCAATTACACTAGAATAGGGGTGTCAAACTCAAGGCCGGGGGGGGGATTGGCTCTGGTCCCTGGGGTGCTTAGATCTGGCCCGCGGTGCTGCCCTGGAAACAGTGGAGCACCAGTCCGCAGTGCCTCTCCCAGTGAAAATGGAGCTCAGAAGGGCTGTGCGCAGCCCTCCCCGGACCTGTTTTCAGCTGTGATGGCCACCTATGAAGATCCATTTTCACTGGCAGAGAGATGCAGGAGGCCATCACAGTCAAAAACAGGTCCCGGGAGAGCACTCATAATGGCAAGATAGCTTTTAGAAATAAATGTACCGCCTATATTAAAAAAAAAATATGCCCACCTTTCCAGCCAAACGCATATGAGGAACAAAAGAAAACGTGCTCCACAATTCTAATGTTCTCCTAATGACAAAGCTTTGTATTGTAAAAATACAAAATGGGATTTAATTTTTAAGCACTACTATTAGGTGCCAATTGCACAACTGCTGAAATTTCCAAGTGGTTTTCAGAGCAGGTCGCAGCCATAATCCTACAGCCTGGTCCACACTTGGTGGGTGCATCTACAACCATTTAATTCAAATACCAATAAAACCTGGAACTGGCTTTATTATAGAGAATAAAAATTCATGCCACAGTGGCTTCCGAACATTCCCACCACTCTGGAAAGGCCATGAAGTCCAAATCAGAGATCAGATAATCTTCATAAGAGATACATTGGAAAAGCATCAAGGAAGTGCCCCTATTACATTTTATCTACAGGTGTGATTCCTAGAAGCTTCATTCCGTTGGCTAGAACAGAGCGAGCAGCATGAAAAAGGCAGAGCCTTGCCTGAAAAAGGGGGGGGGGGAGATAAAGAAGAGGAAATGGCAATTTTTGTCATTTAATGAAAACAGTTCTTATTCATGCCCCCTCCCCTGCTATGGCAGTATAAAAAACATTTTACAATAAGAACTATTAAAATGCCCATTTGTACCAATAAATCTGCAACTTCTTTTATTTCCTCCAGTCTTCTACTTCCCCAAAGGAGACCCTGCCCATTAGCATAAAGCAGATTTTGTATATATACTGTTTGGTCAAAGGAACTTTCCCCCTTTATTGGATGCAAGTAGTTTCTTGATGCAAGTAGTTTCTTCTGTGAGAAGAATAGAATAACAGAGTTGGAAAGGACCTTGTAGGCCATCTAGTCCAACCCCTTGCCCAAGCAGGAGACTCTGCCTACATCAAGATGGCTGTTCAGTCTCTACTTGAAAGCCTCCAGTGATGAAGACAACTTCTGTTCCATTGGTTGATAGTTCTCACTGTCAGAAAATTTCTCCTTATTTCTAGGTTGAATCTCTCCTTAATCAGTTTCCATCCATTATTCCTTGTCTGGCCTTCAGGTGCTTTGGAAAATAGCTTGACCCCTTCGTTTCTGTGGCAGCCCCTCAAATATTGGAAGACTGCTATCATGTCTCCCCTGGTCCTCCTCTTCACTAGATTAGCCATGCCCAGTTCCTGTAACTGTTCTTCATATGTTTTAGCCTCCAGTCCCCAATCATCTTTGTTGCTCTTCTCTGCACTCTTTCTGGGGTCTCAACATCTTTTTATTGTATGGTAACCAAAACTCGATGCAGTATTTAAGGACAGTCCCATTTTCAGAAAGTTAGCTTTAACTTTAAGTTAGCTTTAATAGCTTTACCCTGTATCGAACCAGTGATGAACAATCTCAAATGCTCAACCTGGAGTATTCCAAGTATTTTAAGCTTACTGTTTCTAGAGTTCCCAGTCAGCTGTTACTCCGAATTATACTTTGCATGTACTGATGGATATAAGAACGGGCTGACTTTTGATTTGTGGCCTCTTAATATTAAGCAATATTCACAGCTTCCCAGGGACAACCTTCAAAAGAACAGCATCCTAGTTCACAAGCTGAGCTACTGCAGTAATTTCATTCTCCCTTTCTCATGTTTCCAGATACAAAACCCTGCCATTCATTTATTCCTTTAACTCATATTCCACCCTTCAATAGCAACTTTTCTACAAGAGGTTTTTCTCCAGGTTTACTGCTTAGAGATAACAAATTACAATCAAATTACAATCACAGAGAATTATTATTGTATTGTATTGTAAGCTGGATCATGAGATGGGTGGCATATAAATTCAGTAAATTTAGTAAATAATAAAATAAAATTACCTGAGCGAGTTCCAGAGGGCTGCCCTTCACAGGGAGATTTCTGTGAGCTGCAGATACTAAATGACTAAAACAGAAATGCCAAGCCTGAGAACACATTTTCCAAAAGAGAGCAATCTTAAACCAAGCAGCCACAAACATAGTAGTGCTGATTTCTAAGTGAGCTAAGAACATCTTTTTTGGCAAAACACTGCAAGGACTATATGGAGCATATAGAACTGCCATTGTTTAGCTGACAATGGCAGTTCTATATGCTCCTTATAGTCCTTGCAGTATAGTCCTTGCTAGAGGATGCTAATTCTTGTTTCTGACCAAGGAGAAGAGTGTTGTTTGAGGGGGGAAATCCATGTTCATAACCTTTGTTCAAGTTCTACAATAATCACTGATCATAAGCAAGCTTGTTCTGTGTTGAAGATAAGGCCTGATACAGCCTTTGTATACTCTGCTGCAAAAGCCTTTCCTAACCTTGTAAATTCTAGCTAGGTTAGGATAACTTCAAGAATTCCCAGTGGGCAGAAACACTAAGATTTCTGGATTATTATTGTTTTAACATTCTGGAGGATACAAGGTTGGAAAGGCTGTGCTGACTCACTTTAAATTGAATTTTACCTTATATATTGGCTGCTTTCCTATAACTTGTATAGCCAGCCCAGTTAAACATCTAGTGGTTACATATGCGCAACCAATTGAACAATCAGTTTAAACCCTATTTGTGACTTGTGACTGGTTGGATAGATTATGAGTCAATGTATTATGCAAAACTATAACATGGCTTAATTCACTAATGAGGTAAATGTGTTGCATATTTCTCTAATGGTAATGGTGTCTCAATTTAGTCTTGACATACCATATGCACAGTCATTAATGGAACACTGTATTTTTTTTCTTTTCACTAATGTCAGCTTTTTATCCAAGCCCATCTGCTGCACAGTATAATATATATGAATCTTAATTTCATCCTTTGAGATATCTATGAAAACAAAATTATGCCACATATGTACACGAGAGATAAAAGCAACCTTTAAAACACTGGATAGTAAGACTAGGGATAAAATAGCCCCATCAGACTGAGTATGCTCAATACCCATGAGATTCTGCAAGGGATGAAAAATACAGGTGTGAGGGAATAAAATACCCTTGAAAGGGCACAGCTGGCTAGCTAGGATTTTGCTTCAGTGTTCATTTCTTTAAATATTGTTAAAATCACAAAAAAGTATAAGTTTGCTCCCAGACTTAAAAAGTTTTCCTGTTCCTGGTAGGTTGTTCCAGGAAATGTCATGTTTAGAAATGGAATGTATCTCAGCAAGAAAAACTAGTTTCTTTTTATGATCTCTTGAAAGTTCACCATCTGATTTTCACCAAGGTATTTTTTATCTGAAGGCTTGAATTAACTGATTTTCCACCAATGACTCAAGCCAATAATGTACAGCATTCAGCAAAATGCTTAAGGCATTTGGAATATTTGATAGGAAAATTAAATTTGCAGAAACCAGATCCTCTTTGATATTATGTAAATCATTGGTCAACTGTTAACCTACAGCTAGGAAAGTAAGCCAGAAGAAGCAAAATTATTTAAAAGAAGGTTTTCAAGAACATAATCTATTTTTTGATCTAATGAGGCACTGATTTTGAAATTGATGGG